TAACGCCCCCCTGCCTTACGCCCCCCTGCCTTAACGCCCCCCTCCTAGCCTTACGCCCCCCCCTTACGCCCCCCTCCTTACGCCCCCCTGCCTTACGCCCCCCCTGCCTTACGCCCCCCTCCTTAACGCCCCCCTGCCTTACGCCCCCCTGCCTTACGCCCCCCTGCCTTAGTACGCCCCCCCTTACCCCCCTGCCTTACGCCCCCGCCTACCCCCCTCTTACCCCCTCCTTACCCCCCTGCCTTACGCCCCCCCTCTGCCTTACGCCCCCCTACCTTAACGCCCCCCTGCCTTACTTCCCCCTGCCTTACGCCCCCCTTGCCTTACGCCCCCTGCCTTACGCCCCCCCTACCTTACGCCCCCCTGCCTTACGCCCCCCTGCCTTACGCCCCCCTGCCTTACGCCTCCCCTACCTTACGCCCCCCTGCCTTAAGCCCCCCTGCCTTACGCCCCCCTGCCTTACTACGCCCCCCTGCCTTACGCCCCTACCCCTACCTTACGCCCCCCCTGCCTTACGCCCCCCTGCCTTAAGCCCCCCTGCCTTACGCCCCCCTGCCTTACGCCCCACTGCCTTACCCCCCCTGCCTTACGCCCCTCTGCCTTAACGCCCCCCCTACCTTACGTACCCCCCCTGCCTTACGCCCCCCTGCCTTACGCCCCCCTTCCTTACTCCCCCCTGCCTTACGCCCCCCTGGCCCTCCTTACGCCCCCCTGCCTTACGCCCCCCTACCTTACGCCCCCCTGCCTTACGCCCCCCTGCCTTACGCCCCTCTGCCTTACGCCCCCTACCTTACGCCCCCCTGCCTTACGCCCCCCCTTGCCTTACGCCCCCCTTCCTTACTCTTCCCCCCTGCCTTACGCCCCCCTGCCTTACGCCCCCCTGCCTTACGCCCCCCTACCTTACCGCCCCCCTGCCTTACGCCCCCCTGCCTTACGCCCCCCTGCCTTACGCCCCCCTGCCTTACGCCCCCCTTACCCCCTTACTCCCCCCTGCCTTACGCCCCCCTGCCTTACGCCCCCCTACCTTACGCCCCACCCCCTGCCTTACTCCCCCTGCCTTACGCCCCCCTGCCTTACGCCCCCTGCCTTACGCCCCCCTACCTTACGCCCCCCTGCCTTACGCCCCCCTGCCTTACGCCCCCCTGCCTTACGCCCCACTACCTTACGCCCCCCTGCCTTACGCCCCCCTGCCTTACGCCCCCCTACCTTACCTTACCCCCCTGCCTTACGCCCCCCTGCCTTACGCCCCCCTGCCTTACGCCCCCCTACCTTACAAACCCCCTGCCTTACGCCCCCTGCCTTACAGCCCCCCTGCCTTACGCCCCCCTGCCTTACGCCCCCACCTTACTTACTCCCCCCTGCCTTACGCCCCCCTGCCTTACGCCCCCCCTGCCTTACGCCCCCCTACCTTACGCCCCCCTGCCTTACTTCCCCCCTCCGCCTTACGCCCCCCTGCCTTACGCCCCCCTGCCTTACGCCCCCCCTACCTTACGCCCCCCCTACCTTACGCCCCCCTGCCTTACGCCCCCCTGCCTTACGCCCCCCTGCCTTACGCCCCCCCTGCCTTACTCCCCCCTGCCTTACGCCCCCCTGCCTTACGCCCCCCCCTGCCTTACTCCCCCCCTACCCTTACGCCCCCCTGCCTTACGCCCCCCCTACCTTACGCCCCCCTGCCTTACGCCCCCCTGGCTTACGCCCCCCTACCTTACTCCCCCCTGGCTTACGCCCCCCTACCTTAGCCTCTCCCCCCTGCCTTATGCCCCCATACCTTACGCCCCCCTGCCTTACGCCCCCATACCTTACGCCCCCCTGCCTTACGCCCCCCTGCCTTACGCCCCCCTGCCTTACGCCCCCTGCCTACGCCCCCTACCTTACTCCCCCCTGCCTTACGCCCCCCTGCCTTACGCCCCCTTACCTTACGCCCCCCTGGCCTTACGCCCCCCCTACCTTACTCCCCCCTGCCTTACGCCCCCCTGCCTTACGCCCCCCTGCCTTACGCCCCCTACCTTACGCCCCCCCTGCCTTACGCCCCCCTGCCTTACGCCCCCATGCCTTACGCCCCCCTGCTTTACGCCCCCCTACCTTACTCCCCCCTGCCTTACGCCCCCCTGCCTTACGCCCCCCTGCCTTACGCCCCCCTACCTTACGCCCCCCTGCCTTACGCCCCCCTGCCTTACGCCCCCCTGCCTTACGCCCCCTGCCTTACGCCCCCCTGCCTTACTCCCCCCTGTCTTACGCCCCCCTGCCTTACGCCCCCCTACCTACGCCCCCCTGCCTACGCCCCCCTACCTTACGCCCCCCTGCCTTACGCCCCCCTGCCTTACTCCCCCCTGCCTCACGCCCCCCTGGCTTACGCCCCCCTACCTTACGCCCCCCTGCCTTACGCCCCCCTGCCTTACGCCCCCCTGCCTTACTCCCCCATACCTTACGCCCCCCTGCCTTACGCCCCCCTGCCTTACGCCCCCTGCCTTACGCCCCCCTGCCTTACGCTCCCCTACCTTACTCCCCCCTGCCTTACGCCCCCCTGCCTTACGCCCCCCTGCCTTACGCCCCCCTGCCTTACGCCCCCCTACCTTACGCCCCCCTGCCTTACGCCCCCCTGCCTTACGCCCCCCTGCCTTACGCCCCCCTGCCTTACGCCCCCCTACCTTACTCCCCCCTGCCTTACTCCCCCCTGCCTTACGCCCCCCCTGCCTTACGCCCCCCTACCTTACTCCCCCCTGCCTTACGCCCCCCTGCCTTACGCCCCCCTGCCTTACGCCCCCCCTACCTTACGCCCCCCTGCCTTACGCCCCCCTGCCTTACGCCCCCCTACCTTACGCCCCCCTGCCTTACGCCCCCCTACCTTACGCCCCCCTGCCTTACGCCCCCCTGCCTCTAGCGCCCATGTTCTAATCTTGTCCACATTCTGATTGTGCCCACATTTTCCGACAGGTGTAGACGATTAAAAGACTCATTGTGATCAGATCATCCTGACCACCTCCGGAGGTAGTCAGTCACGCATTGTGTCTGGATAGTTTACAAATGTAGACTGATTTGGATCGTGAAACCATTTAAATCATCAGTATCCAATCTTCTAAAATCATTGCCAGGTGGCACCATTGACTTATGGTATCAATTTTTCTTAAAATAAACAAGTACTATTGTTGAAAGAATGGCGGTCCATTAATTTGCATACAGGGAGGGATCAAGAAATCTGTTCACAATGTGGACACGGTGGACGGATATGAGACACATTTTAATACCATGTGTAAACATATTTTAGATAATGTGGGCACAAAAGGAATGCGGACAAGATCAGGACAAAAGACGCATGTTAGTGGCAAGTATAAACTAGGCTAAAATAAGTGAGCACTTACAACAGAACAGCTATCATAAATGACCTACGTAACTGTTATTGGTAGTTGTAACAACAGATTGGTAATAAGGTTGTATGCATGACTGTAAGTCTCTTTGGATAGAAGCGTCTGCTAAATGGCATATTATTATTATTATTATTATTATTATTATTATTATTATTCAATCAGATCCAGCATTAGCTGGCGATAGCCGACACCTGTAGAGCGGATGTTTTGGTGTTGTCGGAGGAGGAACTGCATTGGAGCCTCAAATCTATTGTTAGAAGTTCAGAACAAGAAGGGGACGGCTATATAGAAATAATGACTCTCAGATTGATAAATCATTCAACTAAATAAAGAGGAGGCGTAGATCACATCTCACATTCCAGTGTTGGGACTTGTAAACATTTCTCTCAATGTGACTGCATGTAGCCAATGGCAATGTCTGCTTTAGGTATAAATCCGGGAGCCTTTGTGGATTTGACAGCTCTTACACAGTTCCCCCTCCGACACGTCAAAACATCAGCTATGTGGATTTCGGCTAAAGCGGATCTGATTGAATAGGGACCAAAGTCAACTGATCTGTTTAGTGTTTCCCCAACAACAGGAAACCATTCCTGTAACACTCTATTGCCTAATTTTGTTTGATTGCAGCTATTCAGAATGTTACTATGGCATTTCACATTAAACATCTATGCTTTAACTTTAACGGAGGACTTGAAACTTGAGGTTAAATGTCTAGTTTATCTAACGCTGCATGACACTTATGAATATATCCTCCTATCGATAAATCATTGTATCGCTTCCCATCAAATCAGACCTAGGCCTAGATTCAATCGTATTCGCTCTGGCCGAAACATGCTGTCTGGGGTTGTTTTGACAGTGTCAGCGGCTCCATTGGATGCACCGAGTCGCATTAGTAGAAACCCCATGCAGCCGTGTTTACAAGTTCCAACACTGGCATGTGATGTAATCTACACCTCAACATTTTCTGAACTTCTGACGAGGGCGGGACGGGTGTGGCTTCGTGACAATGACCACGGGAGCAGCCGCTCACGGTTTTGACAGCTCTAAGACGGTTACACTGTCAAAACACCACGCGGGTTAACGGGGGGCCAGTATGAAAAATGTATGCACTCACTAATTGTAAGTCGCTCTGGATAAGAGCGTCTGCTAAAATGACTAAAATTTAAAAATTAAAAAAAATGTCAATCTGATGCCTTATTCCAGTTATTTTGAAGATGACTATTAGTCTCATCCACAGCTACATTTGTTGGTCGCCACTCAAGCATTTTGAGTCTACGACCAATAGCTGACTAGCGTAAAAAGGAGTGGTGATGTTTTATCCTTCAACAGCATACGGATTAATCATGTTAGCCCTTCCTATTCAATCAGACCAGACTAGTGTACATAGTGGTAATGTTTTACATAGGACTGTAGCATTGCCAGAAGGAGAGGGGAAGCTGCTTCGCTTCAGTGGGGGGGCCACGCCCGGCTCACCTGAGGCTAGGCCACGCCCGGCTCACCTGAGGCTAGGCCACGCCCGGCTCACCTGAGGCTAGGCCACGCCCGGCTCACCTGAGGCTAGGCCACGCCCGGCTCACCTGAGGCTAGGCCACGCCCGGCTCACCTGAGGCTAGGCCACGCCCAGCTCACCTGAGGCTAGGCCACGCCCGGCTCACCTGAGGCTAGTCCTTGATGGTGTATGCGTACGTGCGCGTGTTCATGTGTGTGGAGGGGCTGTGCCCAGCTCACCTGTGGGCAGTCTTTGATGTAGTGTCCTTTGTTGAAGCAGAGATGGCACAGGTAGTTGGGCGGCGGTCGCTTGCTGGGTTTGCGTGGCTCAGAGGAGAGGGGGAGGTCAGAGAAGGGGTCTGTCGGAGAACTCAGGCCGTCTATGATGTTGTTGAGCGAGCCGTAGGGAGTGGAGATTTTATACAAGTTGTTGTTTAAGGCCTGCGGATAGAAAACAGTGAGAGCTCTAGTCAATCCGTAGCGCTGAACATCCGCTTCATAGCGTGATTGGCAAAAGGCAATGTGGTTGAGGAGACTGCATTCACGGTAAACGCTGCATATGTCCGCTCAATCTAAAATTACCTTTACATTTTTACACGGATCTTCAGCGATACTTCTGAGATACAGATTGAATAGAGCTCTGAGTAAAATATGGGCATGGATTTTAATTGATAACAAAGTCTAATGGGAAAGAAACTAGTCTGGCTGAAAACGTCAATTACAGATGAGCCCGTCTCTAACGCTGCATTAAGAGTGAATAACACTTGGTTTAGAGCATGTTAAAGGAACAATCTGGGATATTAGACACCACAACTTGATAGATGTTCCTGTTTGTTAGTCTGCTCACTCCGCACAACAGAACCAGACCTTCTTTTAATGCGTTGTCATTCAGTCTACGAGCAGAAAGAGTTCCATTTCCGTGGAGGAACAGGATGCCTTTGTTGAAGATCTTTTGCTAATTCCCTCTATTGGGTTGACACAATCAGTACCAGTGTGTCTTAAGCTCCAGGGAAGAGAACTGACTATGGTCCCAGTGTGAAGATTGTTACAGGCTGCACATAACATGTGTTGTGGAATGGAACTATGTCAGGACGCAAGGCAATCTAATCTTCACTACTTTGGCTGATGTCATAAGGCTGTCATAACTGCTACTTAAGGATGGACAAATAAATATACTCAAACTATAGGGGATAACCTTACCCTGGCGCAGGAGGCCTAGCTTTCTATAGGGGATAACCTTACCCTGGTCAGGAGGCCTAGCTTTCCATAGGGGATAACCTTACCCTGGTGCAGGAGGCCTAGCTTTCCATAGGGGATAACCTTACCCTGGTGCAGGAGGCCTAGCTTTCTATAGGGGATAACCTTACCCTGGTGCAGGAGGCCTAGCTTTCTATAGGGGATAACCTTACCCTGGTGCAGGAGGATAACCTTACCCTGGTGCAGGAGGCCTAGCTTTCTATAGGGGATAACCTTACCCTGGCGCAGGAGGCCTAGCTTTCTATAGGGGATAACCTTACCCTGGTGCAGGAGGCCTAGCTTTCTATAGGGGATAACCTTACCCTGGCGCAGGAGGCCTAGCTTTCTATAGGGGATAACCTTACCCTGGCGCAGGAGGCCTAGCTTTCTATAGGGGATAACCTTACCCTGGTCAGGAGGCCTAGCTTTCTATAGGGGATAACCTTACCCTGGTGCAGGAGGCCTAGCTTTCTATAGGGGATAACCTTACCCTGGTGCAGGAGGCCTAGCTTTCTATAGGGGATAACCTTACCCTGGTGCAGGAGGCCTAGCTTTCCATAGGGGATAACCTTACCCTGGCGCAGGAGGCCTAGCTTTCCATAGGGGATAACCTTACCCTGGTGCAGGAGGATAACCTTACCCTGGCGCAGGAGGCCTAGCTTTCTATAGGGGATAACCTTACCCTGGCGCAGGAGGCCTAGCTTTCCATAGGGGATAACCTGGTGCAGGAGGCCTAGCTTTCCATAGGGGATAACCTTACCCTGGTGCAGGAGGATAACCTTACCCTGGCGCAGGAGGCCTAGCTTTCTATAGGGGATAACCTTACCCTGGCGCAGGAGGCCTAGCTTTCTATAGGGGATAACCTTACCCTGGCGCAGGAGGCCTAGCTTTCTATAGGGGATAACCTTACCCTGGTCAGGAGGCCTAGCTTTCTATAGGGGATAACCTTACCCTGGTGCAGGAGGCCTAGCTTTCCATAGGGGATAACCTTACCCTGGTGCAGGAGGCCTAGCTTTCTATAGGGGATAACCTTACCCTGGTGCAGGAGGCCTAGCTTTCTATAGGGGATAACCTTACCCTGGTGCAGGAGGCCTAGCTTTCTATAGGGGATAACCTTACCCTGGTGCAGGAGGATAACCTTACCCTGGTGCAGGAGGCCTAGCTTTCTATAGGGGATAACCTTACCCTGGCGCAGGAGGCCTAGCTTTCTATAGGGGATAACCTTACCCTGGTGCAGGAGGCCTAGCTTTCTATAGGGGATAACCTTACCCTGGCGCAGGAGGCCTAGCTTTCTATAGGGGATAACCTTACCCTGGCGCAGGAGGCCTAGCTTTCTATAGGGGATAACCTTACCCTGGTCAGGAGGCCTAGCTTTCTATAGGGGATAACCTTACCCTGGTGCAGGAGGCCTAGCTTTCTATAGGGGATAACCTTACCCTGGTGCAGGAGGCCTAGCTTTCTATAGGGGATAACCTTACCCTGGTGCAGGAGGCCTAGCTTTCCATAGGGGATAACCTTACCCTGGCGCAGGAGGCCTAGCTTTCCATAGGGGATAACCTTACCCTGGTGCAGGAGGATAACCTTACCCTGGCGCAGGAGGCCTAGCTTTCTATAGGGGATAACCTTACCCTGGCGCAGGAGGCCTAGCTTTCCATAGGGGATAACCTGGTGCAGGAGGCCTAGCTTTCCATAGGGGATAACCTTACCCTGGTGCAGGAGGATAACCTTACCCTGGCGCAGGAGGCCTAGCTTTCTATAGGGGATAACCTTACCATGGTGCAGGAGGCCAAGCTAATCTCACAGGCCAAATGAATCCTAGCTTCTTCGTCACCAGGTCTGATGAATGTGGTATCCTCCTTGACATGCTGCACTATTCGGCAGGTAGCTTAGTGGTTAAGAGCATTGTGCCAGTAACCGAAAGGTCGCTGGTTCTAATCCCCGAGCCGACTAGGTGACAAATCTGTTGATGTGCCCTTGAGCAAGGCACTTAACCCTAATTGCTCCTGTAAGTCGCTCTGGATAAGAGCGTCTGCTAAAATGACTAATTATATTCTATATTTCAGACTTCTCCTGAGAGGAGAGAAGTTAACTGAGTTTAGCAACACCACCACCAGGCCCCGTGCAGTACGTCCCTTAATGGCACCCTGTCCCCTATGTAGTGCACTACTTTTCACTAGAGTTACATGGTCCCTGGTCAGAAGTAGTGCACTACTTAGGGAATAGGGGGCCATTTGAGACACAGACTGTACTCTTCGGACCGGGGGGAGTCGGTGTCGGACCTACACTCTAAAAAATGCTGGGTTGTTTGGTTGATCCAACTGGACCCAACTGCTGGGTTGTTTGGTTGACCCAACTGGACCCAACTGCTGGGTTGTTTGGTTGACCCAACTGCTGGGTTGTTTGGTTGATCCAACTGCTGGGTTGTTTGGTTGACCCAACTGCTGGGTTGTTTGGTTGATCCAACTGCTGGGTTGTTTGGTTGACCCAACTGCTGGGTTGTTTGGTTGACCCAACTGCTGGGTTGTTTGGTTGACCCAACTGCTGGGTTGTTTGGTTGACCCAACTGCTGGGTTGTTTGGTTGACCCAACTGCTGGGTTGTTTGGTTGATCCAAATGCTGGGTTGTTTGGTTGATCCAACTGCTGGGTTGTTTGGTTGATCCAACTGCTGGGTTGTTTGGTTGATCCAACTGCTGGGTTGTTTGGTTGATCCAACTGCTGGGTTGTTTGGTTGATCCAACTGCTGGGTTGTTTGGTTGATCCAAATGCTGGGTTGTTTGGTTGATCCAACTGCTGGGTTGTTTGGTTGACACAACTGCTGGGTTGTTTGATTGACCCAACTGCTGGGTTGTTTGGTTGATCCAAATGCTGGGTTGTTTGGTTGACCCAACTGCTGGGTTGTTTGGTTGACCCAACTGCTGGGTTGTTTGGTTGATCCAACTGCTGGGTTGTTTGGTTGATCCAACTGCTGGGTTGTTTGATTGACCCAACTGCTGGGTTGTTTGATTGACCCAACTGCTGGGTTGTTTGGTTGATCCAACTGCTGGGTTGTTTGGTTGATCCAACTGCTGGGTTGTTTGATTGACCCAACTGCTGGGTTGTAGGTGTTCGGTCACTTAGTTGAGTTGTTTTCTTGAAAAGAAATAGCAAGGTTGGGTTATTGGTGCTGGGTTATTGAGATATGACCCAGTGGGTTAGATCAGAAGTCTGGAGGCATAGTTTAGTAGGGTCGTGGCTTTCAGATAGTTATTTCTAGCCACCCGTGAGAGTAAATGTCATTCCTGTTAATCTGTTGTGTTGTATAGTTCTCACATGTTAAGGTCAAACATTTACATTATTGTACCTTCAATGAGGCTTACAGAAGTGTAAAATGCACAAAATATATATTTGCAGTATGTTAACTTACCATGATGAACAGGAATGACATTTACTCTCACGGTGGCAAAGAAGAGCTATCTGAAGCCATGCCTCTAATAAGCCACGCCTCTTTGTAGATCCTTTTTAAAAGAAACATCCCGGGAGTTTTTTAAATTCTGGCTAGCCATAATATATTGTTAAAATTGTGTTGATTCAACATGTCAATCAGGTGTAGTAGCTCAGGAATAGCTGGGGGCCCTGAGGAGAGAATTGAGAACCACTGATTTAGTCAACAGTTCTCAATTGACACAAAGCCATACGTGAGTCTTTCACAAGACACTATCACTGGCCATTGTCATATTTAACATGTAATGACATAACACAACAGATTAGATCAACTGGAATGACACTCACATTCACCGTTGCACAAAAAGAGCTGTGCTCAAACCACGCCCCAACATTCTAATTAGCCACCGCCCCTGCATTTTAATTGTCACTAAAAGAGCAACGAACCATTTTGTGAACTGCAAAGAACCATTGAAGGACTCCACATAGAACCCTCTTTTCCTAGTGTGTAGCATAGCCTACATACAGCTAATCACCAGTCACCAATCAGTGTGGTGGAGCTAGGGGTTTACTGTACAGTGTGGTGGAGCTAGGGGTTTACTGTTCAGTGTGGTGGAGCTAGGGGTGGAGCTAGGGGTTTACTGTACAGTGGGGTGGAGCTAGGGGTTTACTGTACAGTGTGGTGGAGCTAGGGGTTTACTGCACAGTGTGGTGGAGCTAGGGGTTTACTGTACAGTGTGGTGGAGCTAGGGGTTTACTGTACAGTGTGGTGGAGCTAGGGGTTTACTGGACAGTGTGGTGGAGCTAGGGGTTTACTGCACAGTGTGGTGGAGCTAGGGGTTCACTGTACAGTGTGGTGGAGCTAGGGGTTTACTGTACAGTGTGGTGGAGCTAGGGGTTTACTGTACAGTGTGGTGGAGCTAGGGGTTTACTGTACAGGGTGGTGGAGCTAGGGGTTTACTGTACAGTGTGGTGGAGCTAGAGGTTTACTGTTCAGTGTGGTGGAGCTAGGGGTGGAGCTAGGGGTTTACTGTACAGTGTGGTGGAGCTAGGGGTTTACTGTACAGTGTGGTGGAGCTAGGGGTTTACTGTACAGTGTGGTGGAGCTAGGGGTGGAGCTAGAGGTTTACTGTACAGTGTGGTGGAGCTAGGGGTGGAGCTAGGGGTTTACTGTACAGTGTGGTGGAGCTAGGGGTTTACTGTACAGTGTGGTGGAGCTAGGGGTGGAGCTAGGGGTTTACTGTACAGTGGGGTGGAGCTAGGGGTTTACTGTACAGTGTGGTGGAGCTAGGGGTTTACTGTACAGTGTGGTGGAGCTAGGGGTTTACTGTACAGTGTGGTGGAGCTAGGGGTTTACTGGACAGTGTGGTGGAGCTAGGGGTGGAGCTAGGGGTTTACTGGACAGTGTGGTGGAGCTAGGGGTGGAGCTAGGGGTTTACTGCACAGTGAGGTGGAGCTAGGGGTTTACTGTACAGTGTGGTGGAGCTAGAGGTTTACTGTACAGGTGTGGTGGAGCTAGGGGTTTACTGTACAGTGTGGTGGAGCTAGGGGTTTACTGTACAGTGTGGTGGAGCTAGGGGTTTTACTGTACAGGGTGGTGGAGCTAGGGGTTTACTGTACAGTGTGGTGGAGCTAGGGGTTTACTGTACAGTGTGTGGAGCTAGGGGTTTACTGTACAGTGTGGTGGAGCTAGGGGTTTACTGTACAGTGTGGTGGAGCTAGGGGTTTACTGTACAGTGTGGTGGAGCTAGAGGTTTACTGTACAGTGTGGTGAGCAGAGGTTTACTGTACAGTGTGGTGGAGCTAGGGGTTTACTGTACAGTGTGGTGGAGCAGGGTTTACTGTACAGTGTGGGAGCTAGGGGTTTACTGTACAGTGTGGTGGAGCTAGAGGTTTACTGTACAGTGTGGTGGAGCTAGGGTTTACTGTACAGTGTGGTGGAGCTAGGTGGTTTACTGTACAGTGTGGAGGAGCTAGGGGTTTACTGTACAGTGTGGTGGAGCTAGGGGTGGAGCTAGAGGTTTACTGTACAGTGTGGTGGAGCTAGGGGTGGAGCTAGGGGTTTACTGTACAGTGTGGTGGAGCTAGGGGTGGAGCTAGGGGTTTACTGTACAGTTGTGGTTGGAGCCTAGGGGTTTACTGTACAGTGTGGTGGAGCTAGGGGTGGAGCTAGGGGTTTACTGTACAGTGTGGTGGAGCTAGGGGTGGAGCTAGGAGTTTACTGTACAGTGTGGTGGAGCTAGGGGTTTACTGTACAGTGTGGTGGAGCTAGGGGTTTACTGTACAGTGTGGTGGAGCTAGGGGTTTACTGTACAGTGTGGTGGAGCTAGGGGTTTACTGTACAGTGTGGTGGAGCTAGAGGTTTACTATACAGGGTGGTGGAGCTAGGGGGTTTACTGTACAGTGTGGTGGAGCTAGGGGTTTACTGTACAGTGTGGTGGAGCTAGTGGTGGAGCTAGGGGTTTACTGTACAATGTGGTGGAGCTAGGGGTTTACTGTACAGTGTGGTGGAGCTAGGGGTTTACTGTACAGTGTGGTGGAGCTAGGGGTTTACTGTAGTGTGGTGGAGCTAGGGGTTTACTATACAGTGTGGAGGAGCTAGGGGTTTACTGTACAGTGTGGTGGAGCTAGGGGTTTACTGTACAGTGTGGTGGAGCTAAGGGTTTACTGTACAGTGTGGTGGAGCTAGGGGTTTACTGTACAGTGTGGTGGAGCTAGGTTACAGGGGGAGCTAGGGGTTTACTGTACAGTGTGGTGGAGCTAAGGGTTTACTGTACAGTGTGGTGGAGCTAGGGGTTTACTGTACAGTGTGGTGGAGCTAGGGGTTTACTGTACAGTGTGGTGGAGCTAGAGGTTTACTGTACAGGGTGGTGGAGCTAGGGGTTTACTGTACAGTGTGGTGGAGCTAGGGGTTTACTGTACAGTGTGGTGGAGCTAGTGGTGGAGCTAGGGGTTTACTGTACAGTGTGGTGGAGCTAGGGGTTTACTGTACAGTGTGGTGGAGCTAGGGGTTTACTGTACAGTGTGGTGGAGCTAGGGGTTTACTGTAGTGTGATGGAGCTAGGGGTTTACTGTACAGTGTGGAGGAGCTAGGGGTTTACTGTACAGTGTGGTGGAGCTAGGGGTTACTGTACAGTGTGGTGGAGCTAAGGGTTTACTGTACAGTGTGGTGGAGCTAGAGGTGGAGCTAGGGGTTTACTGTACAGTGTGGTGGAGCTAGGGGTTTACTGTACAGTGTGGTGGAGCTAGAGGTTTACTGGACAGTGTGGTGGAGCTAGGGGTTTACTGTACAGTGTGGTGGAGCTAGGGGTTTACTGTACAGTGTGGTGGAGCTAGGGGTTTACTGTACAGTGTGGTGGAGCTAGGGGTTTACTGTACAGTGTGGTGGAGCTAGGGGTTTACTGTACAGTGTGGTGGAGCTAGGGGTTTACTGTACAGTGTGGTGGAGCTAGGGGTTTACTGTACAGGGTGTGTGGAGCTAGGGGTTTACTGTACAGTGTGGTGGAGCTAGGGGTTTACTGTACAGTGTGGTGGAGCTAGAGGTTTACTGTACAGGGTGGTGGAGCTAGGGGTTTACTGTACAGTGTGGTGGAGCTAGGGGTTTACTGTACAGTGTGGTGGAGCTAGGGGTTTACTGTACAGTGTGGTGGAGCTAGGGGTTTACTGTACAGTGTGGTGGAGCTAGGGGTTTACTGTACAGTGTGGTGGAGCTAGGGGTTTACTGTACAGGGTGGTGGAGCTAGGGGTTTTACTGTACAGTGTGGTGGAGCTAGGGGTTTACTGTACAGTGTGGTGGAGCTAGAGGTTTACTGTACAGGGTGGTGGAGCTAGGGGTTTACTGTACAGTGTGGTGGAGCTAGGGGTTTACTGTACAGTGTGGTGGAGCTAGGGGTTTACTGTACAGTGTGGTGGAGCTAGGGGTTTACTGTACAGTGTGGTGGAGCTAGAGGTTTACTGTACAGTGTGGTGGAGCTAGGGGTTTACTGTACAGTGTGGTGGAGCTAGGGGTTTACTGTACAGTGTGGTGGAGCTAGGGGTTTACTGTACAGTGTGGTGGAGCTAGGGGTTTACTGTACAGTGTGGTGGAGCTAGAGGTTTACTGTACAGGGTGGTGGAGCTAGGGGTTTACTGTACAGTGTGGTGGAGCTAGGGGTTTACTGTTCAGTGTGGTGGAGCTAGGGGTTTACTGTACAGGGTGGTGGAGCTAGAGGTTTACTGTACAGTGTGGTGGAGCTAGGGGTTTACTGTACAGGGTGGTGGAGCTAGGGGTTTACTGTACAGTGTGGTGGAGCTAGGGGTTTACTGTACAGTGTGGTGGAGCTAGAGGTTTACTGTACAGTGTGGTGGAGCTAGGGGTTTACTGTACAGTGTGGTGGAGCTAGTGGTGGAGCTAGGGGTTTACTGTACAGTGTGGTGGAGCTAGGGGTTTACTGTACAGTGTGGTGGAGCTAGTGGTGGAGCTAGGGGTTTACTGTACAGTGTGGTGGAGCTAGAGGTTTACTGTACAGTGTGGTGGAGCTAGGGGTTTACTGCACAGTGAGGTGGAGCTAGGGGTTTACTGTACAGTGTGGTGGAGCTAGGGGTTTACTGTACAGTGTGGTGGAGCTAGAGGTTTACTGTACAGTGTGGTGGAGCTAGGGGTGGAGCTAGGGGTTTACTGTACAGTGTGGTGGAGCTAGGGGTTTACTGTACAGTGTGGTGGAGCTAGTGGTGGAGCTAGGGGTTTACTGTACAGTGTGGTGGAGCTAGGGGTTACTGTACAGTTGGTGGAGCTAGTGGTGGAGATAGGGGTTTACTGTACAGTGTGGTGGAGCTAGAGGTTTACTGTACAGTGTGGTGAGAGCTAGGGGTTTACTGTACAGTGTGGTGGAGCTAGAGGTTTACTGTACAGTGAGGTGGAGCTAGGGGTTTATGTACAGTGTGGTGGAGCTAGGGGTTTACTTTACAGTGTGGTGGAGCTAGGGTTTACTGTACAGTGTGGTGGAGCTAGGGGTTTTACTGTACAGTGTGGTGGAGCTAGGGGTTTACTGTACAGTGTGGTGGAGCTAGGGGTTTACTGTACAGTGGTGGTGGAGCGTAGGGGTTTACTGTACAGTGTGGTGGAGCTAGGGTTTACTGTACAGTGTGGTGGAGCTAGGGGTGGAGCTAGGGGTTTACTGTACAGTGTGGTGGAGCTAGGGTTTTACTGTACAGTGTGGTGGAGCTAGAGGTTTACTGTACAGTGTGGGTGGAGCTAGGGGTTTTACTGCTACAGGTGGTGGAGCTGGGTTACTGTACAGTGTGGTGGAGCTAGGGGTTGTTTTTTACTGTACAGTGTGGTGGAGCTAGGGTTACTGTCCAGTGTGGTGGAGCTGGGGTGGAGCTAGGGGTTTTACGTACAGTGTGGTGGAGCTAGGGGTTTACTGTACAGTGTGGTGGAGCTAGGGGGGTTTACTGTACAGTGTGGTGGAGCTAGGGGTTTACTGTACAGTGTGGTGGAGCTAGGGGTTTACTGTACAGTGTGGTGGAGCTAGGGGTTTACTGTACAGTGTGGTGGAGCTAGGGGTTTACTGTACAGTGTGGTGGAGCTAGGGGTTTACTGTTCAGTGTGGTGGAGCTAGGGGTTGAGCTAGGGGTTTACTGTACAGTGTGGTGGAGCTAGGGGTTTACTGTACAGTGTGGTGGCACATTGTATTGGTACCCTTGCTGAAAATGGGAAGGAAAGATTTAGAGCCCTATGGGATGAGTATAATAATTTATTATAATCCAAACCAAATCATATAAGAACCTATTTGTGCTCCAAGTGAATGGGTAGGCATACGCAGCTTTTATGTTAATTATTAAACATTGTCATTGTAACTCACATTATTAAACCTGCTTTTGTCTCAAGTTTGTTCCATGTATTAAACAATACAATGTTGGATTAAGTTTAATACAAGTTGTTTGGCATGTCAAGATACAGTTTGTGGAAATAACATATCTGGAATTATATACATCAACAAAAAAAAAGACATGTTTACCTCATTCCTCTGAAGTTGCAAGAAGTTGTTGAGATGGTTGGAGTTGAGCGCAGTGCTCAGGTCGACAGCAGCAGCGCACGGCTGTTTGTAGTTGTTCAGGTCGGGTGGAGAACTCTCGGATTCCGGTCTGAACGCATCGAAGGCATTGGTCTGGTGGGTGTCATTGAGGGACGTATAGAGCCAGTTCAGTAGTTGTGCTGGTTGGTACACAGCGGTACCCGTGTCTATGGCAGACATCATGTTGATCTTTGGAAAAGGAACGCACAGCGCGTCCTTGAGTTGAAGCTCCACCGTTATTTCTGCAGAAGCCCAACCAAATCACCTAAATATATATATGTTTTTTTTTAAATCATTCGACCTCTTCAAGCTGATAAAAAATGTAAATCCTTGCGTTCACCTCAAAGAGCTCTATGGGACTCCAATCCCTGGTTTATGGTCACGGGAGAACCGTGGTGAAGGCATGACAGGGCGAAAAGTGTGTGCCAGTCAAAACATTCGTGGACTCCCTTCCAGTACTATTCACAGCAGGCCACAGCAGGGATGAGCTCATTGCATATTTTCTCTCGGTCATTGGAGTGCGTCATTACGAATATAGGAGGTCCGATGCTTGGAGGATATGAATGGCATCGGCCTATTGCCGAGGAACAGTATCCCAACAGCAGTAATAATAGTAATAAAATACTAGTACTGAAGTAGTAATAAAATACTAGTACTGAAGTAGTAATAAAATACTAGTACTGAAGTAGTAATAAAATACTAGTACTGAAGTAGTAATAAAATACTAGTACTGAAGTAGTAATAAAATACTAGTACTGAAGTAGTAATAAAATACTAGTACTGAAGTAGTAATAAAAGTAAGTCAATTAATTTGTTGTAGGTCTGTTAGCCTAATCTTGCATTTCATATTTACACGCCACTCGAAATGATCGTTCAAAGTGTGTCTCTTGAGTGGCACAGTAAGTTAGCCATTCGCATGACTGTGTAATAAAGGTGTTATATCAAATCCCCAGTATAAAATGTTCATGTAAATTAGAACTTTGCTAATTAGAAGAAAAAAACGTGTGACATTGGAATATACTGGAATAAACTTTGGCAAATTGCAATGAGTGACTTAATAGGTCTACCTCAAAATCAAATAAAAATCAAATTTTATTGGTCTCATACACATATTTAGCAGATGTTATTGCGGGTGTGGCGAAATGCTTGTGTTCCTAGCTCCAGCAGTTCAGTAGTATCTAACAATTCACAACAATACACACAAATCTAAAAGAATGGAATTAAGAAATATATAAATATTAGGACGAGCAATGTCAGAGTCTGGAGTATAAATATATATACAGTGAGGGAAAAAAGTATTTGATCCCCTGCTGATTTTGTACGTTTGCCCACTGACAAAGACATGATCAGTCTATAATTTTAATGGTAGGTGTATTTGAACAGTGAGAGACAGAATAACAACAAAAAAATCCAGAAAAACGCATGTCAAAAATGTTATAAATTGATTTGCATTTTAATGAGGGAAATAAGTATTTGACCCCTCTACAAAACATGGCTTAGTACTTGGTGGCAAAACCCTTGTTGGCAATGACAGAGGTCAGACGTTTCTTGTAGTTGGCCACCAGGTTTGCACACATCTCAGGAGGGATTTTGTCTCACTCCTCTTTGCAGATCTTCTCCAAGTCATTAAGGTTTCGACCCTGACGTTTGGCAACTCGAACCTTCAGCTCCCTCCACAGATTTTCTATGGGATTAAGGTCTGGAGACTGGCTAGGCCACTCCAGGACCTTAATATGCTTCTTCTTGAGCCACTCCTTTGTTGCCTTCGCCGTGTGTTTTGGGTCATTGTCATGCTGGAATACCCATCCACAACCCATTTTCAATGCCCTGGCTGAGGGAAGGAGGTTCCCACCCAAGATTTGACGGTACATGGCCCCGTCCATCGTCCCTTTGATGCAGTGAAGTTGTCCTGTCCCCTTAGCAGAAAAACACCTCCAAAGCATAATGTTTCCACCTCCATGTTTGACAGTGGGGATGATATTCTTGGGGTCATAGGCAGCATTCCTCCTCCTCCAAACACGGCGAGTTGAGTTGATGGCAAAGAGCTCCATTTTGGTCTCATCTGACCACAACACTTTCACCCAGTTCTTCTCTGAATCATTCAGATGTTCATTGGCAAACTTCAGATGGGCATGTATACAGTGAGGGAAAAATGTATTTGATCCCCTGCTGATTTTGTACGTTTTGCCCACTGACAAAGAAATGATCAGTCTATAATTTTAATGGTAGGTTTATTTGAACAGTGAGAGACAGAATAACAACAACAAAATCCAGAAAAACGCATTTGTCAAAAATGTCGTTTCTCTTTGCTTATTTGAGCTGTTCTTGCCATAATATGGACCTGGTCTTATACCAAATAGGGCTATCTTCTGTATACCACCCATACCTTGTCACAACACAACTGATTGGCTCAAACACATTAAGAAGCAGTGGTGTAAAGTACTACTTAAGTAGTTTTTTGTGGTATCTGTACTTTACTTTACTATTTATATTTTTGACAACTTTTACTTTTACTCCACAACTATCCTGATGAAAATAATGTACTTTTTACTCCATACATTTTCCCTGACAACCCAAAGTACTCATTACATTTTGAATGGTTAGCAGGACAGGAAAATTGTGAAATTCACGCACTTATCAAGAGAACATCCCTGGTCATCCCTACTGCCTCTGATCTGGAGGACTCATTAAACACAAATGCATCTTTTGTAAATAATGTCTGAGTGTTGGAGTGTGTCCCTGGCTATGCGTAAATTTAAAAAACAAGAAAATGGTGCCGTCTGCTTTGCGTAACATAAGGAATTAGAAATGATTTATACTTTTACTTCTACTTTAGATACTTAGCAATTAGATTTACTTTTGATACTTAAGTATATTTAAAACCAAATACTTTTAGACTTTTACTCAAGTAGTATTTTACTGGGTGACTTTTACATTTACTTGAGTAACTTTCTATTAAGGTATGTATACTTTTACTCAAGTATGACAATTGGGTACTTTTCCCACCACTGTTAAGAAGGAAAGAAATTCCACAAATTAACTTTTAACAAGGCACACCTGTTAATTGAAATGCATTCCTGGTGACTAACTAATGAAGCTGGTTGAGAGAATGCCAAGAGGTTGCAAAGCTGTCATCAAGGCAAAGGGTGGCTATTTGAAGAATCTCAAATATAAAATATATTTTGATTTGTTTAACACTTGTTTGGTTACTACATGATTCCAGATGTGTTATTTCATAGTTTTGATGTCTTCACTATTATTCTACAATGTAGAAAATAGTCAAAATAAAGAAAAACCCAGGAATTAGTAGGTGTCCAAACCTTTGACTGGTACTGTACAGCAATAGTTGAATAGGATAGGACTTGACTAGAATACAGTATATACATATGAAATTAGTAAAACATTATGTAAACATTATTAAAGTGACCAGTGTTCCATGTCTATGTACATAGGGCAGCAGCCTCCAAGGTGCAGGGTTGATTAACCAGGTGGTAGCCTGCTACAAAAGTATTACCACAGAGAGGGGCAAGCACATTTAGCCTGTACAATATACTAGAAAATAACAGTCGACTCACCATACAATTAAATACTTTCATTATAACTCCAGAAGTTGCATTAAAATTCTTGACTCAAGTTTCAGAAGCCTACTACTTCTCTCTCACTCATGAGATGACTGCCATCTACTGTTCATGTCAAGTATTGTAAAAATGTACAGATGGCATCGGATAAAAATTGATTTGAAATGTATTCAAAACGCATCGAAATGCCTGGTAAATTATATGTAAAGAAATACTGAATGTATACATGTTATACATCCTACATATAGCTAACCCCAACCAAGGCTAAATACTAGGCCTACATGGCAACAAAACCACAATGCAACTACAATGCAACTAATCCTTCCAGTTGTTACATGACTGTTCAGAATCTGCAGAATATAAAGAGCCACTAGGCTGTATTAAGAAAGGGGTCAACATGGTGCCCTCCATCACACAAGAACACAAAGGGACACACACACACAGAATTAACTATGTTTATTCAAACAGTCTTTCATTGACAGAAATTGTCTCAAGGCTTTTTTTTTTTTTACCTGTCTCCTCCCCTTCATCTACACTGATTGAAGTGGATTTAACAGGTGACATCAATAAGGGATCATAGCTTTCACCTGGATTCACCTGGTCAGTTTATATCATGGAAAGAGCAGGTGTTCCTAATGTTTTGTACACTCGTTGTACATGGGGCAGTCTCTAAGGTGAATCAAACCCTTTCCAATTACCACAACCCTTGTTATTATTCATTCTGAATCGGATATCAAAAGAACCAGATACAACAACTTCAATGGGGTGGCAGGTAGCCTTGAGGTTAAGAGTGATGGGCCAGTAACCTAAAGGTTGCTGGTTCAAATCCAAAAGCTGACTAGGAGAAAAATCTGTTGATGTGCCCTTGAGGGAGTCGCTTAAACCCTAGTTGCTCTGGATAAGAATGACTCAAAAATAAACATGCTCTGTGTTTTAGTGAACTACTATAGCAGGGCTGAGCGCTATGCAAAGAGTGGTTACAATGTTTTTAAATATTAATTTCACTTTATACTCTAAGACTTTTCTACATTGAAACCAAGTCCACAATGTTAAGCAGTGGGTTTGAAAAAATTTATTAAAAAAAGACAGGTTTCAATGTAGAAAAGTCTTACATTTTATGTCATAAAACCTATTATTTGTTAATCTGATTACAGTGCTCTTCTGCAATTATTCATTGTGTAAGCTTTATGTAAGGCAGGGTTATATTTACCGCTATACACAGTAGACAGTAACAAGACAGGGTTACATTTAACACTATAGACAGTAGACTGTAACAAGACAGGGTTACATTTAACACTATAGACTGTAACAAGACAGGGTTACATTTAACACTATAGACTGTAACAAGACAGGGTTACATTTAACACTATAGACAGTAGACTGTAACAAGACAGGGTTACATTTAACACTATAGACAGTAGACTGTAACAAGACAGGGTTACATTTAACACTATAGACAGTAACAAGACAGGGTTACATTTAACACTATAGACTGTAGACTGTAACAAGACAGGGTTACATTTAACACTATAGACAGTAGACTGTAACAAGACAGGGTTACATTTAACACTATAGACCAGGGGTCTTCAATTCCGGTCCTGGAGG